GTATTCACCATTGGCTGCAAATTGTATTTTTTTGTTTTTGACTTGTTTTTTTTTTTTTTTTTTTTTTTTAGAAAAGTTTTTATTTTTTGTTTTCTTTTTTAGATTGTAGTTTTTTTTTTTAATTTCTTTCTGTAAGACCCTTTTTATCCTTACCTAAGGATTTTATGCGTCTAATAAAAAAATATAAAATACATAAAATAAATACAGTTCAATGTACCTGGACTACATGTGTCAACTAATGCCCTTTGACTTTTTTTTTTGATTTTTAACAATTTTTCCTATAAAAAGTCTAAAAAATCCTGTGAAATAACAAATAGATTTATCTATGGTATGCCATTGAAAGGTAACAACAAACAAAGATAAGGCAAACATGCATTTATAACAAGTCAAGGCACGCATTCAATAACCGCCAACACAATACCTAGCACACACTGGCTATTAACTAAGTTGCTATTTGGGTCATAAATTAACAAAGCTACTATCATCAACAATAACACTGGTTGGAGTTTTATTTGGATCTCCAATACCTTTATTGAATAGAGCACTGACTTTTTACAGTTTGTCAACTTGTATACTGTATTTATTCTATTAGAAGCACATCTCTAATAGACCATCTCTAATCGCATGCTATACGTATATTATTAACTTTGTAACTTTGTAAGCATCGTATTATTTTACATCCAAATTTTGATGCATCTTTTTGCACAGTTTTCTAATTATTTTCTACAATTTCTTTTGTCCAAAATTAACATAATTTTATATTAGCTACAATTAAATTATAGTTGAGAGTAGAGACTGTCTTAAAAAAATTAAAATATCATGAAACACAAACTATAATGCATACTTTGCATGTGACTATGCCATCTGGTTTTACTGTGACTATCAGTGACTGAGTCAAAGGTCAAACTGCATTTAATAAGTCTTGTTATACACAATTACGAGCTGGGATTAGACCATTACTTTAAACCCTACTGATAATTGCTACGTTCACGTTACAGTATCCCGGCATGTGCTGGAATTTTTTATCCTCAATGTTAGAACAGGGATTTCAGTATGTCGGGACCAACTTGGGACCAACTTGGGACCCACTCAGCTCGTGTTGAAATCTCGGCCTAATTCTTTGATCTGTTATTGGACCCAAACATGGAAAACGATATGCATATGATGATAATAATAATTACTATATTGAAATTGTATCAATTTGCTGTCATGGTATTATGCCAGCGCGATAGTTTATGTTCAGTAACATGATTCCATTTCAGTCACATTGTACATTGTTGCTGTGACTGACATAAACAAAGGAAACTGTTTGAATGTGGCGTAAATATGACGCGCATATTCGAACTCATTTGTACAACGTTTTACAGACAAATGAATTCTATTGTTTTCGCAACCAGTTGCTTTCTCTGTACTGTATTTATGGGATCATCAGAATACATCATATTAATAACATTCGAAGTATATAAAAAAATATGAGCAACAATAATCAGTGGTGTCACACCTTACTATCTTTCGACATCAAATCACATTCGATACTCTCCAGCTGATTCATCAGTTCATGATTCTGACTAATAAGTTGTGCGTTCTCATCTCGGAGATTGTGTAGTTTTTTTCTGAGTCCGTCGTCAAAGTCACTGCCACTGATGGATGTACAAGATGATGCTCTGGAAGAAGGTTGCTGAAATGAGAAGCAGAAAATTTATTTATTAAAATGTCATTTTGGTTTAAAAGTAAACTGGTTCACATTATCATGAGCTTATATAGTTTCATCATTAACAATTTTTAATGGTTGACCTGGGCGCGACTTGCACTGAATACCGCCGATGAATCCCTTGATACCTTTCAATCTCCTAAAAATTACCTAATTAAAGCTTTGAAACTACTCTTTGATCTGTGCAATAGTCAAAGTTGCCATCTTTGTTTTTATGAGACCCATATATCTCGCGCATGCGTGGCGCGACAACTACCGCCCTTTAACTTTTATGTTTCAGTGGGACAAGCTCACCTTTTTTAGAGTAGATGTAAACTAAACTGTAGACTCCATATATTATTAAACACTTACCAGACATCAACAGCCAAAAGTTATATTTTATATATATTGTTGGACAAATAAAAAAGGTAAAAATAACATTCAAGCTCAAACAAAAGCAACCAAGTTTTATAGTAAGGTACTGTTACATACAAAAAATAATCAACGAGATGATGTATTTTAACAATTACCATGTAAAAAGTGTTTTATATTGTTGCAATGCCTTTGGCGAATGTTAAATTAGCTATTGGTAAAAAAGTGAAACTGAGCTGAGCTGCCTCCCCACTGCCATGGATTCTCCACACTGAATACCACATATAATAATTATTTGGATTTAATAATAGTTTAAAAAATCAGACTAAACGGGTACAGCAGATTATTTCAAACATGGCTTGTATTTTCAATTGCGACTGGAGCATCTGTGACTCTGAGGGCAGCATACAGTACAGTTTGGGGGTAACTTAACTTCCAAGCAGGCTATCAACTTGCTTTACCTTTTTAAACAAACTGTATTCAGTGAGTATCATTGTAACTATTTGCAGTAGTTACTTATAGTACCCATGTTTCTAATATGAGACATACCTAGGCAGATTACGCTGCACCGTGTAAATAAGTGACAGTTTTGAAAATATGCTAACTTAGCTTTAAGACAGTTTAAAGCGGGGGGAGTCGTCACCTGCGCATGCGTCAGATGGCCATAGCGTGTCATTGTTTACAAACAAGCGTCTACCTATGAGCCTTTGCGTTTTTAGCATGTGTTGTTATCGTCGCTTGGAACTCAATTCCAGCTCGTGCACAGGTGACGACCCTCTCGCTTTAAGGCTAGCTAAATGATAAGTTACGCTAGAACCGTACTGTACATACAGACGACCTCAAGTCAACTGGCTGACATTTTTTCAAGCTATAAAATGGGCTTAAATCAGATGAAGAAATGATTCATCTGAAAAAAGAACAGTTCATATTCAAATAAATAATATCTGGTGTTTTCACAGTAGCATTGTGCCTTCAAGTTAACTCATAATTACACACACGATTTCAGTGAGATCTCAGTTCATGTCACCTAACATATAAACCCTTTAAATAATCCACTCTTGAGAACTATACGGTTCAGAGGGTATGACTAGATGACCTATGACACTATGCTTACCATTTTAAAGCTGTGTTGCCTGTTCATAGTGTATGCCTGTGCAGTAGAAACTGGACGAGGTAATCTACTGTGTCCATTCATTCTGTCCTCACTCATTGAATCAGACACGAGATCATCCATAGATAGGGTACCGTATTGCTCTGCAGAAGTTGTAGACTCAACGTCAGTTGGTAAAAACTCTTGTCTTCTGCTGCAATAGCAAAATGAAAAAATAATCTAGTTATGTATACCCATAGCTGCCAATGTTTTTATAGCAAATAGGTGGTCTGTGAAACGAATGCAATTAAAGACAACTGCATGTGTACTACACCTGTCAATTAGTGCTCTGGTTTTAAGTCTTGGCAGTGTTTATTTAAAATATTTTGACTTTAAGTTTTTACCATTCTTAACCTTTTCACCACCAGTTCCCTCTTTTCATCACAAATTCACAAAATAGTCCTATTTATAGTCTGCACTTTCCTTCAGAAGATTGGGACAAAAATAGCCAATTTTTTTGAGTAACAACTAAAAATTTTCTCAAATATAAAAAAAAAGTGCAGAAAAAATTTGGGTAAGAAAGTCGTGTGGTGGAAAGGTTAATGGGATGCTTTTATAGCAAAAAAAAAACCACAGTCTGTGAAATAATTACAACCAAAGATTACTACATGTATAGCACACCTGTCAAAAGAGTTAGTGCTGTGAATTTTAATTCTTGGATAGCTAATTGGCAGTGTTTGCAAAAATATTTTGACTTTTCTCCATAACACACTACAGACATCATGCAAACTTAGTGTAAACAACAGGGATTATCAGTAAACAAGTTGTGTACATCGCATGGAATCCATATCTAACATGACAACAGTATCACTTTAACTTCTAAAACCTCACACAAGAGTTAAAGAATTTTTTTCAAATTCTTTATCAAACTTGATCAAACCTTGATAAACATTTGTGAGATATTAATTAATTTATTAAATGACAATTTGTTCTGCTTATTTTTATATTTTTTTTTTCTATAATGCCAAATGGGCTTAATTTTCCACACCCAATAGGTCCTAAAAAAAATATGTGTGTTTATATTTTGGATGGTAAAAAAACTAAACCTTCAACTATGCAAATGACCTGATATGGACATTTTGGAGTACTTAACCAGAAGTTTACAAAAGCACTGATTGAAAAATCGGATTGAATAAAAAAAAAAAAAAAACTAGCGAGTAATGGCTTGGAAAACCAAAAATAAGAGACTGAATGAAAAATCTGCTACTGCTGCCTAATGCTCAGCAAGTGTAGTTAGTAAACAAAGGACATTGTTAAAGGACAAACAATGAGGTCAAATACAATAGATGAGATCCAGTGTGTAGAGAAATAACAAAAGAATCGGTTATTGAAATACCAAATAATATAGTATTGACGATTAAGTAAAATTTTATTCTACCAGTGAATAAAACACTACGTAAATTCATACATACAAATTCATGTACAAAACATACTGGGAGATTTTCACCAACGAACAAATTAAAAAATAAGTTAAATAAAAAGCATATAGTATAAACAATATACCGTAGTAATTTGAAATAAGAACTAAAAAAAAAGGTTTTAAACAGAAACCTGGTTTAAGAAGCATAGCTGAAATTGATAATGATTAAAAGTTGCTTATTTATTTTTAAAACTGAGCTCAAGGGAGAATTCAACAAGTTGTAACAGAAGCTTGGCAAACAGCCAAGTGGAATAGTTGTTGCTGTTAATCCTACACTTTAAGTATATGCTGAAGGCAGTAATAAAAGTCAATGAAAAAACTCTGAAATACACTATTGAGCTCAAGAAATGAAACACAGAATGACCAGGAATGACCGATTTATTTTTCTCCTATAACTAAAGATCTTGATAGTGCAGCACAAAGCGACAGTTGCAACTCGGTACTACGAGTTAGACCAATTGTAAATGGCATTGAAAACTTCACAAGTGCCACATTATTATAAGGATTCTAATTACCTACCTTGAGTGGGTATGATCCACTGGCATGCCAGGGTAATGCACTGGGCATTGGTACATTGTGACAATTTGAACTATTTTAGGCAGTAACAGTGAATATTATGGAACGACTACTATTAAAGGTCAGCTGAGATTTATTAAGGACCTGCTATAATGCCATGTTGCATAGTAACTAAAATGGGCGGGGCACTAAATGAATGACACTTTTATCTCTTTCAACTCTCATCTAACCGTTGTCCTAAATGATCCACCTCAGCTCTGCCCTTCAGAGTAAACACCATATTTCTTATATTAGAAGTTCAACTGAGGTACATGTAAGCCAAAGGTATTTGTTTGAGTTGTATTGAAGCCTAATATAATATGTCAACTCATCTTCAGTATTTAGAGTTTAATTTTTGTCGCTATTAATGCTGGTGATTTTACTATTGAGAGCATTTATGTCGATGGAATTTATTGAAAAACTGTCTTATAGATCAAATAAAAAAAATTCTCACTGCTAACAAATTTTGCACTTTCCCTACTTAATTTTTGTAATTTTAGAACTGAGAGCATTTATGTCAATGCAACTTACTGAAAAACTGCCTTATAGATCAAAAAAAAAAAATTCTCACTGTTTGACTTTTAAAATTAAAGTGGTATATATAGTACAGTGAATGGCATACAAGCCTGCATAGGAAATACAATATAAAGTAGTCACCAAATAGATTGAACTTTGTACATTTAGCCTGGTGAGTTACAATGTTTTGTTTTTTTTAATTTGATGGATGCGGTTGGAAAAATTGACTGAGTTACAAGCATTATAGGTGAGATATATACTATGCTCATATAAATTTAACTCTTATTTTTTCACACTGACAATCATTTGTAGGTGTTTATGAACTATTATTTATTATTATTAAAGTACCACAGTCTTGCAGCTCACTTTCAAATTTTGTTAAACAAACAATTCTATTTGTATTGAACAGTCACATGGGACCCACTTCAAACATAATGTGGTACGATGCTTTCATAAGAAAAAAAAAAACAAAACATTAATTCTATCACGCTGATTTATGAAAAGTGACCAACTAACAACTGTAGTGAACAAATTTAGCATTTCAGTTTTGTAATTCAAATTCATCATTTAAAAAAAATTACATAATGAAACTGCAAAACCTTTGTGATATTTCTTTTATAAAAGTGAGCTAGTGCCCACATTGTAAACAGAATCTTTACAAATCTGTTTAGATCGACTGAGTATATTTATTTTATGTATGAAAACAAATTAAAATAAAGATTACTAGTATGTAGATTGAATGCCACTGAATACATCTTCTTTACTGTATACATTTCAATGTGCGTTTCTTTGAAGTGGTAAGAACCAGGTATAAATGCTTTTAATATATCTGTGATATTAAATATTTTTTAACGATAATTAGAAAGTTTACAAATTCATTTTTCAACATCTGATGAGTAAATGTGCTACAGGTGATCCCTGTTAATAAAACGTGTTGCCATAGAAACGTGAATTATTAATGTCATCCCCACATGATGCCGAGGACAGGTGATGATGCGAGTGTAGAATCATAGACCCCATTATTGGGACTATGATAGAATAAAGAAATGAAGAGCTTGCTGATAATATCTCACACAAAAATCCTTACTGGGGAATAACATTTCAAAATATCAAGTTCTACGTGCTGCAAAACAGGAATAAAGTGAAGAAAAATTCAAGGGGGAATTCAATCACCACAGCTAAACAGAATCATGGACAGAATCATGCCGTAGCTTGCAATGGTTCCCCGAAGCACTCGTACTGGCCGTCGGAGAAATACAAGTACCACCAAGACTCAAATTTATTTCTTAAGTATATTACCTTCGTGTATCTGGCGTTGAGAAACTCTGCAAACTTCGTTCAGTTTGTAGAAGTCGTCGACGGAGATCGCTAACGTTTCTAAACAAAATATCCTCCTCTGATGACATGTCGAAACGTGTACTTTACAAGTCCTTGCAACAATTACGAAGTGTCAAAGTCCTGTTAAATCGTAATCTATCAGAACTTGTTAAAGTTGAGCAACAAACAGCGGCGACTGCATACATTTCATGACATTGTCAGCCGAAAAAAAAATTACCTTCGACCACAGACGTACGAGAGACGAAGATCTGAAAATCAATCAAGTTGCGCGGAACCGATGGTGTACATTCATTAAAATAAGTTGAGACCAGAAAGCGTAGAGTACACACACAAATCTATAATTCCTCTGTACAGATTAAGGTCAGTCACTACTGGGAAGTTTCAAGTACAATCTCCAATCAGTGCGATTTTGAAAATTTATTCAACAGATTGAGTGTAGCAGTCGCCATTTTGGAAGGTTTATTTTGAAACCGCCGTCGCCGGTGATTGGATAATCCTTTGTCATGTGCTCTGAGGTCAAAGGTAGCGCAGCTCTCGCTGCGAATAAGAACAAAGTTTACAGCAAGTCAAAGTTCGCAACCACACTACTGATACTCGAAAGAAAGAGTGTACAATTCGGCACATTTATTTGAGTGGTTTTAATTATAGAATGTGTTTACATTGTGGTCTATAGAATTTAATTGCAATTTTGTTCCGTATCATTTGTCATTAAAATAAATATTGAGGTTAACAGTATACAAAACAGATTGTCGATTTTAAGGGAGGGCTCAGTTTTTACAATCGGGCGGGCCCCCAAAATTCAGAGGCAGGGGGTCACTTAGCAGACTTAGTCGTTGAGAAGGGCATTATATTTTCTTAGCCTGTATTTGGTATTGCTTTTCTGGAATGAACCGCATGTGTTGTAATAGCAACATGAGTTCTAAATTCAAATTTAGAGAAACACATTGTTAAATCACAACCATGCCGGGCCGGCGTAGCATCATGATAGAACCAAGTGGAACTTTGATATTAAATGAAAGATATTCGGAAAAAACTTGAATGCAAAAAATTTGAAGAGGAAAAAAATGAATATACTAAGCAAAAAAAGCGAGTAAAATAGAAACACAAAGGGCAATGGACGACGTTAATTGTGTGGCTACTACAAAAAAAAGGCCAAGCTTGGTACTAGATTGTGACGCAGAAATAGGTGGAGTCACTGCAACAAGGTGACGCGGAAATTGAGTTTGTCGGAGACGCACTGACATTATATTTCGCGGTATAGAAGAAGACACTAATGAATCGTAGAGAAGTATAAAAAGAAAATGAAAGTGCTACTGCGGGAAAGAAAGAAGATAGAACGCAAATCAAACGAGTTCACTGAATCGTATTGGGAAATAAACAAATGTTTTTTTTCAAGAAAAAGTTATTGATTCGTCCATGAGTAATGTAATATTTTGTTGTTAAACTCGGGGTTCATCTGGAGGACAAAGGTAAAGCAGCGCGATCTCAGCGTACCTCCAAACCGGTTTGTAATGACTAATTTAATTGATTTAATGAGGAAGTTGTTCATCGATATATTTGACACAGGTGCATTCCGACCAGGGAGTTCACGAGGTGTCATACCACTTTATTAAAGGGCGAGTTCTGATAGTTATAGGGGGTAATACTATTATATGCGTTTGGTGGTAAGATTTTTGAATGAGTACTTGTGCTCTACATGATGTCCAAGGAGGTTTCTGTAAAGGTTACAGTAGAGGCCGATAATATTTTAGTGTTATACGCAATAAGTTAAAGTTACTTGAGAAAAATAGGAATTTAAAAAGTGCATTGTTATTGAGTCTTTATTCCTGTTTATACAAGAAGAGCTAAGACCATCAAACTTAAAGATACAGATTTTCAAAAAATCATATCACACGTGGAAAAGTAAAGTAATATGTATATAAATGATTTAATTAATGGTATTTACATGTACTGCGTATCATATGATATAACTAGTTGTGCACATCTTTAGCAAACAAAAAGCACATTTCATAAATTCAAACCAGACAAAATAATTACATTTGTACTCTACGAAATTCTTCATTTATAATATCATAAGATTAAAGCGGGGGA